AATTATATTTTAGATTTTTTATATTTAAAATGAGATGTTTATCCTGTATTTGATTGTGTTTATCTGCAGTTAGTTACACGAATTCAGATATGAGATGAAATCGGATAGGGATGAACGGGTTTAAGAGTTTAAGAGTTTTTAGCTAAATGCTTTATAATATAGTATAGATATGTGTGTATGTGTGTGTGTATAGAGAGTGAAAGTGTGTGTATGTTTTTTCAAATACAAATCATATAGTTCAATCTTAATCGTTAATCTAGTTTAACAAATATACGGTTCTATAAATATCTCGAATATTACTATCGTAAAACAATATCATAATGAATTATTAACTTTATTATAAAATATTGATTATAATAAATGATAGTTTAGAATTATGGTTAACACTCTCTTTCTACCCCCCCCCCTCTCTCTCTCTCTCTATATATATATATATATATAATATCAACTTTGCCCAACCAAGAGAAGGGAGAGATACAAAGGTCGAACGTTGGAAACAATAGTTTCTTCAGAACTTGTTCACAAGACCATCGAAAGAAGTAATGACCGAGTCCGTGACCGTGACCATGACCGAGTCGGACTCACCGAGTCTGGGGAAGGTTGAGGAGATCATAGGATATATATTCAAAAACAAAGACTTGTTGAAAGAAGCGTTTACCCATACTTCTAACCAAGATGACGATGATGGTTGTCAATCGTCCTACGAGCGCCTCGAGTACCTCGGTGACTCCTTTCTCAACTTTATGATCGCCAAACAACACTACTTCCAATACCCGAATATGAAACCTGGCGAGTTGACTCAGCTGCGTGCCGCCAATGTCGACACTGAAGCATTGGCTCGAGTCGCATTCAAACATGGCTTCCATAACTTTATCAGACACCAAGATCCTCTACTCCTTGGACGGGTAATTAATTAACTTCCCTTTAATCCATCGTTCTTAATTTTCTAATTTCACTTGATAATTAATTACTTGATTATATATCATCGATCAAGATTCAAGAACTTACGGAAGCAATCAAGGAGCATCCTTTGCACTCAAATGGTTTGATCAATTCGCCCAAGATACTAGCGGACGTTGTCGAGTCTCTGATCGGTGCAGTCTACGTGGATACCAATTTATCGATAGACGATACATGGGAGGTAAATTAACCAACTGGAAAGCGAACCCAGTACTTGGGCATTTCATCAAACAGCCAATATGCAATATTTTTGCAGGTAGTGAAGAAGATGTTGGAACCGTTGACGCCATGGGAAAAGCTGAAGAAAAATCCGGTGACGAGATTGAATGAAACGTGTCAGAAGATGGGGATCGAAGTGGAATACAAGAATCTGTGGGTGGAGAACGGGGAGATAGAAATATATTTAGGTAATAAGTTGATTGGGAGAGGAAAGTATAAGAAAAAGAAAATGACGGCAAGGAACAAGGCGGCGGTTGAAGCATATAATACTCTTGTCAAACACTTGGGTGTTGATCAACTTCCATTTCTTTCTTAAATCTTAAAACCCATTTTTCATATACATATACATATACATATACAGACAGTTTCTTTTGTTAACTCAATAATTGATGTTAACTTTATGAACCAATCTTGACATTTGATTCTTAAGATCTATGGATGAGATCAATTGTGACATATTTGTAGTTAATTAAAAATGATGGATACCAAAACATAGATGAACATGAGTATTTTTGGTTGGGAGAGATGTCCAAATCGATTACAAATTGATGATTAATTAATGATATCGGTTACAAATCGGTAAGTGTTCATTCCTTTTATAGTTTGTAAAATCATTTGTGTTGCATTATGAACACTTAATGAATACATATGAATAGATATGTAACTTATTAACTAATCTTAGTCTGTGGTTTTCATATATGAACATACTGGAACAATTATGAACACTTATTTGTATCTATTAAAACTTATGAACGCTAAAGTAATTGATTTTCATATGTGAACATAGTAATATATGATCAAAGTGTTTCACTTGTGAACATATATTGACCAAATGTTGGATCTATATCGATATTGTTTTATGAACACGTTGAAACACATGTGAACAATATATACACTATATGAACACTGGCGACTACTTAGTTTATTGGCTTTCACATGTGAACACAATACTTCCTGATCATAAGATCTTCAATCTTCTTGTATTGTGATTTACCATCTTCATCCATTTTTGTATATCTCGATTATGAATATGTATCTATCAGACACTCCACCACTATTATGTTTCAATAAATCAAACCCAGTTGTTTGATTTGAAGATTGATGTCGATTACATATATGTTGAAGATATAACATTCAAGTTTCTTATCATATTAAAATAACAAGTGATCTATAATTTGGAAAAAAAAAACATATTATTTTAGTTATAATCATGAGATTGATGTTTTGTAACCGCCTATTAATGAATGTGAAGTTAAGACAAAAAAAGAAGATTACATTTGTGGCGGTCGATGACAGTGGCAGTCGACTCCATGTTAACGGTCGCCGAGAAAGCTCCTCTTACTTCCTATAGAAAACTCTGATTTGATCTCGATACTAAGCTCCTAAACATTGTATGTATTGTTTCTTCAATTTTTCACGATTTGGGATCATATTTATAGCTTAAATTTGTGATTTGAATGATTTGGGATCAAATTTACTGCGATTTGAATGACCAAAAACAACCAGAATCGTTCGTCTGTTGGGGATCAGCGATAAAAAGGCGGAGTTTGGAGAAGTCGAGGATGGCGGTTTGTTTGGTGGGAGGGGATCGATGATTCGAACTGACTAGACCGTTGATTATTGAGAAGATTCTAGAAGAGTATATGAATGTTGATCTGTTTGTGAACAATCCTCTTGATTCGAAGTCGTATGCGTTATGTGTTTCACAACAAAGTTTTGTGTTTCATATGGTGAATCTGTGGCTATGTGTTCCATAAAGAACAATAAACTATGTTTGGATTTCATGTGTGAAACTAATATGTGTTTTCATACGATGAATCTGTATTTCATATGGTGAATGAATCAATATGTTTTATCTGATGAACCTTGTTACAAAAATGACGATTATGTCATTTATTTAATTAAAAATAGCTTAATTTCAATTAAAAACAAGAAACACAGAGCTTTGAAGAAGAACCAAGGTGAGTTTTATTCATTTAAACTGATTAATTTATAGGATTCATTTAAAAACAATCCTTCATATAAAACTGATCATTAAAATTTTATATTTAAAAGAACTGTTCGGAAAGCTGTAAATCTATTTACAGATTCTTAATTAGACATTTCAACCACAAAAATATTAATCGAGGCTGTCAAAATAGTGAAAATTACTAGAAATGATAAAGAAAAATATGTACGAACTGTATTTTCTTGGTAGAACAGAAGTTAGAAAAACATAAACGTTAAAAAACAAAAACAAAAAACAAATTCCAAAATTTATAAGCGTCATTAGGCTTGTTGACTAGGGATGACAGTGACCACGAGAGGGACAACAATCAAGGTGGAAACAGGACCACAGGGGGGCAAACGATGTGGGGGCGACAAGGGCGTTAATGGCTAGAGTAACAAATAACAGAAGTTGATATGAACAGATCTACGAACAGTTAACTTTTCACTGAATAATTGGAGGTCGAACTTGAATTAAATCACGTTTTATAAAAATTATGTGTATATTTTTTGGTTGAATTTGAATCACGTTTGTTTCATGAAACACACTTTTTGATCTCCTACAGCTCATATAAAAACAAAAATAAAAACTTGTCGAACTTAGGAAAAACGTTTTTCCGGATGAGAAATTTTTTGGTATAAAAGCGACATAGCCCTTGGAAAATTTTATATTTGTTTACCTTTTAATAGTTTCATTAAGAGCAGACTTTGAATCATTAAGAGATGAATCTTGTTTGACAAAAAAAGTTTGTCTCTTAATAGTTTTAAAACTCTCTGAATAAGATTGTATCATGGGTCTCCCTTAACCATTAAGTGCCCTAATTTCATTGTAAACAATTAGCAAATAGTTATATTTCATTTTGCACTATATCATGATAGTCTTTTAATCATTCTGACCACTATATTTTTTTTGAACAAAATAAAATAAGAAGTGCTATCATTTTTACAAACAAAATAGTTATCTCTGAAAGAATATATTATATTTATTTAAGAAATGCTTTTACTCTAAAATATTTAATTTGCATGCCATTTAATAAGAAAAAGTTAAAAAAATTGAAATGTCTTTTTAAATCATAGCAACGAAAAGTGAAAATTATTAAACAATAATTTGAAATACTGTTTATTGATGTATATTATTTAAAATTCAAAATTACAAGTATATTGTGTGTAAATACAACTTATTAATTAAATACAAGATAAACATCTCATTTTAAATATAAAAATTCTAAATATAATTAAGATACTTATTGAGTTCTAACATAATACTTGATTATTATCTTTATAAAAAATTATATTATTAAAACGTAAATTAAATTATTTCGTTACGTTAGATTAAATAATAATAATAAATTTATATTAAAGAAATTACATAGAACAAGATATTTTAAATAGTTAATTTGGTACTAATATCGATATAGTTTTTTCAAAATTTTATGATATTTTCAAATTTATATTTTATTCAAAAATAAAATATTATTGTTTTCTCAAAACCACATAAAACTGTGTTATATCGACATAGATAAAGAAATAAAACGAAACACTGAAATCAATATCTGTCTCAATACATTGCACCTAAGGGTGCTCGTGGGTTGGGTTGATCGGTTGAAGACATTTGAACAACTAAACCCAATACTTGCGGTTTGAAAAATCTTAACCCAACTAAACCTAAACCAAAGTGCAATCCAACCCAAATTGGACGGGTTTATCAGGTTAGTCGGGTTGATTTTTTGGTACATTAAAATATTCTTTTAACCTTGAATATGTTATTTATCTACTCATATTTTTTTCCATCATCAACCATTTGATACAACTTATCCATATTTTTTACATATATCACATTCAATTAGTTTTCTCAATTTACATATATATGTTCATAGTTACTAAACATATATACGAATGAGTTATGTAGAGATGGATAATAGATTGAAAATATGTATATGTGAATTAAATAAGTAATAGTGTAATTGTGTAATGTATATATTAATATAAACTCAACAATTATATTAAATCGAAGAAATAAAAGGATATGAATTCGAGTTGGGTTGCGTTCAAATAATAGTAATATAATACCTACGCTTTGAAAATTTATGACTCGATTGGACATCAAATTACTTTAAATTGAGTTATTTCATATTTTACATTGAATTAAATCGGATTGATTGAGTTAATCAGGTTGGTTAGGTTTTTGACACCCTTCTAGTCTATACTATATTATAAAACATTTGACAAAAACTCTTAAAAATCATTTTTTATGCATGAAGTACCGTATATTGATGCATATTACTTAAAATTCAATATTACAAGTAAATTATGCACAAGTACAACTTATCAAAACTCCATATTTGAATTTGTGTAACTAACTGCGGATAAACATAATCAAATAGAAAATAAACATCTCATTTTAAAATATAAAAAATCTGAAATATAATTAGGATAATTATCGAGTTCTAACAAAATAACTAATTATTATCAATATAAGAAAATTATATTATTAAACAAAATATAAATTACTTCATTATTGAAACTAAATTAAATTATAACAAAAATTGAATTAAAAATACATAAAAAATGAGAAATTTTAAATAGTTAATTTGATACTAATATCGATATATTTTTGTCAAATTTTTATGATATTTTCAAATTTATATTTTATTAAAAATAAAAACATCATCTTTTTTTTAAAAACATAAAACCATACTATAACATTGACTGAAATATTAAAATAAAATAAAATATTAAAATCAAAATATATCTCGTTTTCTAGTTCTAAAAAATAAAATAAAGATAGTTGGGTCTTGGGTGGGGGTTTGAATTTGGGCTTCCAGAAAGTCGGGCCGCCGACCAAAGGGGAGGAAGGCCCCAGATTCTTCTCGATCCGTTGCTCACAATCATGTTACGAATAAGGAAGGAAGGAGCCTAAACAAGTTTCTTGGAGAACAGGGCAGTCTTAATTTGCATATCTTTTGGAAAGTATATATGTAAACCCCAACAAATCGATAATCAAACGCATTCGAATCAAGTTGAAGTTGTTGGAGGTCTTGGAGAGAACCAGAGAAGATGGATTTTGAATTGAGAAGAGCGAGAGAGAAATTAGAGAAAGAGCAAAAGGACAGGAAAGAGAAGGCTAAGTTAAGGTTGGAAAGAGAGAGAAAAGCCAAACAAGAAGCTCTTCGTCAGCGTGAGGCGATCGAGGCTGCTCAACGATCTCGTAGAATCGATGCCATGGAAGCCCAACTTAAGGTAATTCCTTTTTCCCCCATTGCTGCCCTCGATTGATTCTCAAGTGATTGAAATCAGTATGAGTTTATTTCTTTATGTTGATGTTTCTATTGGATGAATTCATTGGTTTGTTGTGGATCAATAGATTGATTACTTGATTCGGTTTCATGTAATCCAATTTTTTGATGTTTTAGGGCATAGAAATACCCATAAGGATTAAGTTGCAACATTTTGATTCTCAATCATCCTCAAACACGTTAAGCATTTGATGCAACTCGTTATTGCGTTAAAACACTGATCTCAACTGTATCATTGAATTGAGCAGCTCTCATGTATCAAAATTCTCAAAGAATTGGGTCCTATAACTTATGTAGTTCAAGGCTGGTGTGGCATACCCACATGATTCTCAAGATCCAATGGGTGTGCTTGGTATAATTAGACTGCCATAAGGTGAAACAAAAATAGGGAGATGAGATAACATATGCAAATTACTAAACTACCATGTCAAATATGAAAGCGTAAAACCCTTCCATTATTCGTTTATCTGCCTACCTCACTCTTGCTGGTCAAGTCTTGTTAAGTCTCATCCGGTCCTGCTAGCATACCAAACGCACTTCTGGTGATGTAGAGATGTATATAACTTTATAACTTAATGAGGATGCTAACTCAAATGATACCTCTAAGTGGCTAACCTATTGTAACTCTTTTAAGTTATGATTAGTGAGCCAGTTTGGGGGAATTCTTGAAAGAGAGCCTTTTTTATAACAATTTGTGCATGCATCCTATTAGACTGAGTTCCTAGATTCTTTTGATGATATTGATCTTGGGGTTTAGCATGTTTCATATGTATTGGTAGGTTTCTCATATCTAAGAATAACGTATCTCCTGTTTAAATAAGGGATCATTATAATCCTTCTACTTAATTTAGGGTTTATAGTTTTGTTCTGTTGGTATAATATCTAATACATCATCCATTCCTCCCCCGTTCATAGTTATATTCAACACTATATACAATTATACAAGTATGTTAGTCTTTATTTCTTATATCTCTTTCCTCACACTCATTCTGTTGGACACAACCCGAGGGTCTTCATGGAAACAGCCACTCTACCCTTTTAGGGTAGAGGTCAGGTCTGTTTTCATCTCACGCCAGCGAGTGGATTTACTGTGTTAGTTTAGTTTGGTTTGGTTTGATAATTTCTCATTGTCCTATTTGCTATTCAGGCAGACCAGCAGATGGAAGAAAGTATACTTGCTGGGAGAGGGATTTCTTTTTATCGTGCTCTAGAGGCTGCACCGTTTGAGGGTTCTGGAGATAAGATAAAACTTCCCCCTTCCTGTTTCACTGAATTATCCGAGCAAGGGGCATTTGACAAGGGTCCTCTGCATTTCCAGTTGTCAGTAGTTCGCCAAGATGAATCTTCTTCACAAGCAAAGCCTGCTGAAAGTCTAGGCCATGGGTCAACCCATGCTGGCGTCTTAGAGTTCACTGCAGAAGAAGGTTCTGTCGGGATCCCTCCTCACATTTGGAACAACTTATACTCCAAACAAGATCCCAAAACTCCTTTAGTTGAAGTACGATACGTGTGGCTAGCAAAAGGAACATATGCAAAGCTTCAATCAGAAGAACTCGGGTTCTCAGATATACCCAACCACAAAGCTGTCCTTGAAACAACCCTTCGCCAGCATGCAACTCTTTCTCAAGATGATGTTTTGACGGTCAAACATGGTGTATTGACTTATCATCTGCGTGTTCTTGAGCTGAAACCGTCACCAAGTGTATCTGTTCTTGAAACAGATATCGAAGTTGACATTGTGGGTCCTGATTCACTTCCCGAAAGAAGCAACCAGCATGTGCTGAAACCACTGACCTTTGGGAAATCTGAATCTGGAGTTATAAATGAAAAAGAGTACATTTATTACAAATTTTCAATAGATAATGATACATGGGGAAGAATTTCTTCTGGGGATGCTGAAATCGAAGTAAAACTAGATTCTGAGGCAAAAGATGGAGATACCGATCTATATCTTTCACAGCACCCACTCTTGTTTCCGAACACCCATCAGCATGGTTGGTCTTCTCATGATATGGGTTCAAAATCTTTGGTTCTTGGCTCCAAAGATCACAACTTTGGTGCTGGTACTTACAGTGTTGGTGTATATGGGTTCAAAGGAACCACAAAGTATCATGTTTTAGTAACTTTGCAAGATTCTTCCAACACAAAGGTGGGACAACAACCTGTGCCATCTTCTTCACAGGGGTCAACAGCAGATACTGTAGAGTGCAGCAATTGCAAGCATTATATACCCTTGAGAACCATAGCACTTCATGAGGCATATTGTAGAAGACATAATGTCATCTGTCAGCATGCTGGTTGTGGTGTTGTTCTCAGGATCGAAGAGGCCAAGAACCATGTGCACTGCGAGAAATGTGGACTAGCTTTTCATAGTGACGAGATAGGGAAACATATGAAAGTGTTCCATGAGCCGCTATGCTGTCCGTGTGGTGCCATTCTTGAGAAAACACAGATGGTAAGCCACTATGACTTATTATCATCTTAACGACTGCTTTAAAGAAAACTTTTTTAGGGTTGTTGAGTTCACTCAGGCTGCATTTGGTATGTGAGATGGAATGGTACATAACAGTACAAAAACATGGTGTCCTATGGTTGTCCTGATATTAGATCGGGACAAAACAGAACCTAAGTGGGACAAGAATGCATTTTTCACTACTTAAAATAGGTAGAACAAAAATCTGGAAGAATGGACAAGATTGTTAAATTACTAAACTACCCATGTCAAATTACAACCTTAAAACCTTCCACAATTCTTTCATCGACCTACCTCACTCTCGCCTGTCAGGTTCAGTCCCATCTGCATACTAAACTCATCCTCACATATGTCGTTGGTGCATTTTCTATTTATTGTACCCGTCGCTTGTCTACCCCTTGGGGCTGGTAGAGAGACGGTCTATATAATATACATCCTACCCGACCCTATTTTTGCATAGGATTTATTGGGTTAGTTTGGTTTGATTTGGTTCGTTTAGCGTTTTTGAGTATATGTTTGTTCTTTATCGCACAGGTGCAACACCAGAACTCAGATTGCCCGTTACGTCTTGTTACATGTCGGTTTTGTGGGGACATGGTTGAAGCTGGGTCGTTGGCTGTTGATGCACGTGATCGGTTAAGGGGACTCTCAGAGCATGAGAGTCTTTGTGGGTCGAGAACTGCTCCTTGCGACTCTTGCGGTCGGGCAGTCATGTTGAAAGAAATGGATATTCATCAAATAGCTGTTCACCAGAAGAACTGAAACTGCAGTGATAGTGATTCATTGCAACTCTATGAAGGCAGTGTGCATCAATGGTGTAAATGGATGTTGTTGGTGGTGGTTTGGTCTTTATACGTGAGCCATTAAGTCAACTCGGTTTTCTTGATTTTAGCCAACAGCAGATTTGTATGAAACATGGTTTGGGGAAGGTATTGTGTTTTATTTTATTTTTCAATATTAATCAAAAAGTATTTATCCCACCCTCTTTTTATTGTTTTTTATGTTTTGTTTTTTATTTTATTTAAGGGGGAACTGATTATTTTGTGGTAATTGTGAGATCCAATCTCAACCACATATCAACAGATAAATTAGAAAATTACTAATTTTGGTAATTTGAGTTAAAATTATAATCAGATGGCATTTTAGGTATTTCTAAAAACTATTCTCTCTTATCTCCTCTCACCTCTTTCCGACCTCGGATCTCCAACCTCCGATGAACATTATTCCGATCGGTACCAAGTAATCATTGTGATACACAATGATCGATTGTGATACCAACTATAATACCAACCCAAACCTTAAAAACAAAATCAAATCCATAATCTAAATTTAAGGAATATATACCGAGTATCCACGTTGTGATACCCAAAATACATATAAGATTTAATGTGATATCCAATGTAGTACCAATTGGGGTACCATTGTGTTACATCTTCGATCGACCACATAAACGACCTCAGTGTGATATCCAAGCACATATATGATGCATTGTGATACCATTGTAGTATCATTGGAGGACGGGGGACGGAGAGAGAAGAGGGAGAGAGGAGAGTTTTAAAATACCTGAAATGTTCTTGCATTAAAATCTTAATTCAAAATTACCAAAATTATAAATTTCCTAATTTATCTATTAATTTGTAGTTGAGATTGGACTTCACGATTACCACAAACTAATTAGTTCTCATTTGATTAGGCTCACACACACACACATATATATATATATATATATATAGGGGTGAGTTCAAATAAAAACCACTCAATTTGTAAAAACCGTGAAAACCTCATTCAACCAATCATAATTTTTTATTTTGTTTATTTTTTTGTAATTATGAGAGGTTGATTAATCATTTTTATTGCGGATGATGTTAATCATGGATATTATCATCTTCATTAATTTAATTTTAGAGAAATACATGAAACAGTTTCAATAAAATTTCATTAAGTAGTATATGAAACAATTTCATAACCACATATGAAACAACTTCATCAAAAAAAGTATTATATGAAACAATTTCATAACCACATATGAAACAACTTCATCAAAAAAAGTATTATATGAAACAATTTCACAAGATTAA